ATAAAGGTAAAAACTGAATATGTAAATGACAACCTAGAAGGTTTGAAGGGAGGTCTCATTGAATAAATCACTGCTACGTTTAGTTTGGGAAGCGACCGTAGTGTTGCGACCAGACGCTCACCTACAGATCCCAAGGTCTTGAGTTCAGGTCCTGACGGAGCAGGCCTTTTTTTTTTAATGACCCCGGCTCCCAAGTGATCCCAGCCTTAAATGAGTACCTGGTATAGTCCTAGGAAATAAAGGCAACTGGCATGATGTGAACCGCATCAGCCACCTAGTATCAGTTGGTGTAGAAAATATAAGCCTAACAATAAATGTCCAATGCACATGCAGGGGTGGAAAAGGCTACTTGACTTGACTTACATTTAGTGAGAATCATATATAACTTCTCTTTTGAAGTTTTTGTTTATGTATATTATTTTTTTCTATTCAGCACAACATTTTTTTAAAATATTTATTGTGATGTTATCAACCACAATCGATGTCACTGTACATTGGGTATTCCCATGAGTGATCAGTCCTCCGATGATACAGCAGCCACTCGAAGGTACCTCTAGCGATCGTTCCCATCAGAAGTTGATTATACTATCTACTAAAAGCACTTAAACAAGGCCTTGGCTCCTCAAGCCCCCACCCCGGAAAATGTATTCAGGGTCTGAGGATCCCCCATCCCTTCAAATTTTCTTTGTGTCAGCGCCCTTAGCCAGCTGTATTTTTTCCGACCTTGACATTTCCTTCACCTTCAGTCTGTTTTTCTTTCGAAAACTTTTTTCTTCTACAGTAAAACCTTATTCAATTGAACTCCTTTTAAGACGAACACTCGTTTTATATAAACGCAATTGTGGTTCTAGCAAGGATGTGCGTATATGTATTATTACTATTATTACATGTATTAGTCTACGGCTGGCATTGTTTTCACGCGACTTTTTGAAAAGTTTCTTACTGTATGCATGTGTGTGTGTGTGTGCGCGTCGTGAGTGGGTATGTTTATATGCCTATGTGTGGAGTGCCGAAACAAAAGAAAGCGCTGGAGTTTGGTGGAAAGATCAGATTCCGGTACAGCTCACGTTTTCGGGCCCAGGGACAATGTCATTGACCGTGCATTGATGCGCCTTAACCTTTGACACGCGCGACTTTCTCTTACAGTGGTGTCAAGTTGCATAGTCTCCCACACTATCACCTGCGATATCCCGCGTTCCATACTGCACGATGTTATCGGCAATTTTAACCACCCCATAACATCTACAACTGGTTCTAACCCCCTCTCCTCCAGGGGAAAGCCTCGGCCAAGGTCCCAAAAGAGAGTTCATTCTACGCCCCGTGGTTTCAGACTTCGGTTTTTTTTTACGATGGTCTCCCCATTTACACACCACCACTTGTATTTCAACTCCACTGATAAGTTAGTTGGACTTGGCTACCGTTGTCGAGGTTATGGGTGTCGCAGTCTGTTGTTGTCTGGGTTTACGTTTTTATTTCTGAGAAAAAGACGACCTGTGACATAGGTTTTGTCATTCTCTAAGGGGGTTGTGTGTTAGACCTAGTATCTAAATGTTTTAGAAGTGTAAAAAGCTCTGTCATGGTGAAATATTCAATACGCGGCATGAGCTCGAGGCCGACCTATCAGATGTGACGTGGTCAGTAGGTCGTCTAATCAGAAGCGAGTTAGTGTGAAGCGGTGTGTAAATGGGGAGACCAGAGTAAAATTTACCTAGACTTCTTAACATTTTGCGGTGGCCCCCTAAAAAGCTGTGTTGCTCCAGAAAAGCAACGGTATCCTCCTAGTCGCGCGAAACCATAAAAAAAAGTAGAACCTAACACCCCTGTGACACGGAGTCGGGGCGTGCGAAGGGTCAGGAAGGATGAATGTGGTGGGGGGGGGGGGGTATCAATGGTTTTTTTTTTAGTACGCAGTAATTATAGTTACTTACTCAGTAGCTCCTCTTCTACCATGTGATGTAGAAGTTTGCCAGAGAAATCGCTAGACTTATCTGTCAGCCGTTTTTTGCCTGGTTCCATTCCAGCCCTCTGTTAGTCCACAGAGACTGTCTGTTCTTGTCTTTGTAGCAAGTTTTTAAAGGGTTAGGAAATTATAGGGAAGAGAAAAGGTTGGTAAGAAAAAAAAACAGTTTATGTAAGCTTTACTAAATCGATCACAATAAACAAACAAGGGACGTTGCGGCGATTAGCCTTCACCAGCATTCATCAGCACATAAAGAACAACACAGTACACATACACAAATATGCTCTAACTATGAAGTGACTACATGGGACTAATGTACAAAATAAATGATACTCATCTGTGTCCCTGGCGAAAAACTTCCTTCAAATGGATGTCATGGACAGGTACTGGCGTATTTATCACCCACGCACGGACGGGGAGCAAAGAACGGGTACACTATAACTAGGAAATTAATCGAGTAACAGAAAGTCATATAACTAGGAAATGGACGGAGTAGACGCCCATAAAACAGCGTACACTGAGTGTCTAAAGAGGGAGGGAGGGGTTGTCTTTGTAGCGAGCCCTGGTTCCCTGGTTCTTGGCCTCCCGTGCTTGCCGTGGTGGCAGATGGTCTTCCATTCTGCATACATGTCCAAACCATCGTCACTGTGACTGATCCACTCGAGGTTTTAGGCCTGAGTTTTAAGATCATAACGTATTGTCTGGCTGCGAACTGTCCCTTGGACCACCTTCCGCAAATACCTAATTTCTGAGGTCTAAATCTGACTTATGTGATCTGTTGTCTCTACATCTTAGCGCCTTGCAAAATGTCTAGAGGTGCCACTTTAAAACAATTGGGGACCACGAGGTGGCGGAGCCCGCAGGTTCATGCTACCCTGCTAATCTGTAGATGTTGTGAGTATGCTTTGTGTATCGTGTCGCTATAACATGTTGTCACACAAGGTGAACAACTCGTCTCCGCGTGTCCTTGCCCCCCGTACACTGACCTCGTGAAAGGGGACATGACCTCCTGTGACCCCGCCTTCAACCAATCAACTCGCAGCTCCGGGGTCATGGCCGGTGTGTACGTCTGCTGGAGAAGCCGAAGAGATTTTGTCCGAATGATCGTCGAACTTCAGTTCGGCAACCTAGTCTCTTGTGCTTGTGGAGGTTTTTCTGATATTTTCAGAAGTAACTTTGCTTTCATTTTCATTAGAATATTATCTGAATACTTACAGTGTTCTACTAATTCTGTTGTTGTGCAGTACTAGGCTGTATTATATAATATTTATTTTAATGTATATTTAATTTTAATGGAATTAATAATTTAATACGTCAAAAAAAGTTGCGTATCCTTCACTGTTACAGACGTTGTAGAACCAACCCCAACTTTGGCTTTTGTGGTTTTTCTAGGCAAACGTTACGTTTAGTAGTTTGCTTGCTACTGAACGGTCAGCTCTGCGTACTACTGTCAAAACCCACACTAGTCAAATCGTCTGCCTCAGGCAGATGCACTCCGACTTTGAAGGAAGCTCTGAATTAGTCGACTCTTACGACATGTTTTTGGGTAGGCAGTGGGTCTATTCTTGTTTTCCCTATAATAGAGCCCCGGAACTCACTCTAGGAAGAGTTATAAAAATATTAATAGTTATATTAAGAAAAAAAATTATATATATATATATATATATATAAATGAATTAGGGCTGTACCGAATATTCGCTTCGTATTCGCTTCAGGGCCGAATAGTGGACCTATTGACTATTCGGTATTCGGCCGAATAGTTCCAGTCGGGCCGAATACGAATAGTACTTACTTTACAACCGCTTCTGCTTTCATGACCTTAATGCTGACAACATGGAACGATTAGTTTTGTTCAAAGCTAATACAGTTTTCCTACATTAACTAAGTTGTCAGTGACAATTTCCAAGTTTAGTTACTTGTTATAATACTTAGGATTCTTTCATTCCTAGTTATTTGTTACCACAGACTGACTAAAGGATGCAAAACATAAAATGTTTTTAAATGTTTACTATTCTGTACGAATACTAGCTAGACATGGAAAGAATATAAACTTCGGCCACATCCAAGTCGATAATATGAAAATCAAACGAAAAGAAACATATAAGTACTTGGGTGCAAACTTCAACTGCTCCAATGAGGCCTTTTTATAGTTTTCGAAAACAGTCTTACGACAAATCTTTGGACCCATCAAAGATGCAAACAGCGGGGAATGTAGAGTGAGAAGCAACAATGTAACACATAATCTGTTTAAATCACCATTGATCACTGGCATCATGAGAGCTAACAGACTAAAATGGTTGGGGCATATTGAAAAAATGTCAGCTGACAGAGAAGTAAAACTGTTTAAACCTGAGAGAGGAATGGGCGTAGACCACGAGGCAGACAAAAAAGAAGTTTGAGAGATAATGTCCAGCCAGACCTGCAAACAACTGGTGTCTCAAATTGTGAAGAGAAGGCCAGCCAGAGAGATAAAGGGAGACAAGTGATGTCTGCAGCCGTACACCTCAAGGGCTCAGAATTCTAAAGAAGAAAAAGACTATTCTGTGCTACTTTATGTGAAATAAAAGTTCAGCGTACATTTGACATTATGAATGCGTTTTTTTTTTAGATATATTTTATACACTACACACTATTTGTATAGTGGTGTGTCGGGACACTAACTGATACATGCTGCAGGAGATCGTGAATTATGGAGAGGCATGATCGCCCACGCCAGCCAGCAAGGCACCTGATGATGATAATGACACTATTCATATTCGTATTCGGCCGAATAGTTGGTCTCGCTATTCATATTCGGCCGAATAGTGAAAATCACTATTCGGTACAGCAGGGGAAAAAAACAGTAGATAAATAAAATTTTAAAACATTTGCTAGTTGCCTTTGTGAACTAGGTGTTGTTAACTATTTTATCTGGTCATTCCCATGGGTTCATGGCTCATTTTTCATTCAAGTGGTGGAAGGGTTAAGGTTATTTTTTATTCTAAAGTCAGCAGTTTCTCAGCTTTGGTTAATGACATGCCTCTTTCAGATTGACATCACCATGGCAGAAACTAACTCCGGTAAAAGACTTCGCTTGCTGACATATTTATGCCCAGAGGTGTCTCCAGATGTCTTCTTTATTCTCCGAGACTGTATAGAAGAGGTGACAGGGCTAGAAACCGATCTCATTCTTGAAAACCGGATTTCAGGTCCCCAGCCGAATCGAACTGACCCTTTTACAGCAAATCTTGCAGACATAGGTGAGTTGTAACTACATAATTCTTTGCTACTTCTGTAAAAGGGTGGTTGACACATTGTGTTGTGGTTTACAGCTAAGCTGTGATATCAGCATTTTTTTTGGTTTGCCCCAGCACATCTGATTTCAGCAGATCCCTAATTAGTGGTCTTTTATGATAGGCTTGTTAGGGGACATGGTGAGTCCATTTTCTCCCATACTATGGGAGTAGTAATGGTGGTTATGGTTGTAGTCGGGTTGATGGTGGTTATGGTTGTAGTCAGGTTGATGGTAGTAATGGTGGTTATGGTTGTAGTCAGGTTGATGGTGGTTATGGTTGTAGTCAGGTTGATGGTGGTTATGGTTGTAGTCAGGTTGATGGTGGTTATGGTTGTAGTCAGGTTGATGGTAGTAATGGTGGTTATGGTTGCAGTCGGGTTTATGGTAGTAATGGTGGTTATGGTTGTAGTCGGGTTGATGGTAGTAATGGTGGTGATGGTTGTAGTCGGGTTGATGGTAGTAATGGTGTTGAAGGGTTAAAAAAAAAATTCTTGCTTGCTACAGACATCCAGTTTTAACATATGCCTGTGAATCCTGGACAATCGATAGGCAGGCCAAACAATTTCTTGAGTTCTCAGAGATGTGGTTTTATAGAAGAATGCTTTAAATTCATTTGACAGCCAAAAAGAGCAACCATGAGGTTTTGAAAGAGGCGGGAACCTGAAGACAACTTATCATAGACATCAGAAGTCAACAGTCATCACTTTTCGGCCATGTTATGAGAAGAGGGAGACTTTTCTTGATACGGGCGGGTCTTGCTAGTCACACTCGCCATTGCCATGGGCTGTGAGTCTCATGCCTCCTCATAGCACAATATAACAATATCATCTAGAAAGACGGAAAAATGCCAGTGAATGATATGAGAAGACGGAAAATGGAACATTAGAAAGACAACGAGAGAAGATTCTTGACAGTCTTGTTGCATGGCATGGAGGTGTGTCAGCACATGAACTGATAACAGGCTGCAGGGGATCGCGAATTGTGGAGAGGCATGAGTGCCCACGCCAGTCAGCAAGGCACCTGGTGATGACTATGTGGTGCTGGAACCCACACAGGGTTTAATTAAAATACTAAAACCTTGTTAACACAAAGCTCACAAGGAAAATCAAGAATTTGTATAGAATTTAAAAAAAAAACATTTTGTTTGGGTAATCGGGGACATCCTTTCTTTTTCTTTTACCCCTTGAGGTGTCGAGGGAGATATAACGTCCTGTTTCTTGCTTTCCTGGCCGCCTTGATCATAGACACATCATGCTGTTTTAGAGCTTAACTGATATCTTCCATCTTGTTGTTGGTCTACCTCATGATCTGTGTCCATCTCCTCTTGTGGTGACTAATAGCACCAGGAACTAACAGATGTAATCCATCCTGGGACCAGAAATTGTTATTACATTTAGCAAGTTTCATCTGAAGCCATTTTGTGGTAACTAGGTTTTATAATGTATTAGTGATGTCTGTAAATTATATAATATACTGCTGTTAGAGTGTGAAGTGTTATGTCTTTACATATTCTAGGCCATGATATTTAGGGTGGGGCGTCTAGTTCCCTTGATCATCATCTTTGCTTGTCAGTTTTCAGGTAATGTTTATGAAAATCTTTTGGCCACAGAGCTGTACTAGTGGGGCACTTAAATCCTGCTTTTGTTGAGAACAGAACGGGGAACCATTATTTAAGCGGGCAATCAGAGTAATAGTAGTGATAATAGTGGTGGTCGTAGTAGTAGTGATGATAGTAGTATTGGTGGTGGTAGTAGTAGTGGTGGTGGTGGTAGCAGTAGTGGTGTTTGTAGTAGTAGTGGTGTTTGTAGTAGTAGTGGTGGTAGTTGCAGTGGTGGTGGTAGTATTAGTGGTGTTGGTGGTGGTGGTTGTAGTAACATTTGTCATAGTAGTGGTAGTCATAGTGGGGATGGTTGTAGTGGTGTTGATGGTAGTAATGGTGTTGGTCGTGGTGATGATTGTAGTGATGGTGGTTGTCCTAGCAGCAGTGGTGTTGATGGTAGTAATGGTGTTAGGGGTGGTAGTAGTAATGGTGTTGGTCATGGTGATAATTGTGGTGGTGGTGGTTGTTGTAGCAGTAGTGGTGTTGATAATTATAGTAATAGTGGTATGGCAGTAGTAGTGGTGATGGTGGCAGTAAAGGATATAAACCTAACTTTAAACAACAACAACAAAAAAACATTTATATTTTCAGTTGCCATGAACAGTTCTGATTATTTGCGTCTGAAAGCTCAGGGACAGAAGCAAATGGAACTGTGCCCCGCAGCCCCAGTTTACAGGCACCAAATGGCTCAAGACAGACCAGTTTATTTTTCTGAAATTATCATTAATTCTGCCAATAAGTAAGTCATTCTCCTCCTGCTGATTCTTTTTTTTTTTTTTTACCGTTCACCAGCTGTAAACTCTGGTGGAAAGTTCTGGTTGTTCTTCCACTTTTGGACTTTGGTCTTTCTCCAGAAGTATTGTGTGCACATCTGTTTTACATATCTGGCTTATTTGTAATTGTATCCAGACTGTTGATTCCATGCCTCTCACACTGATGCACTCAGACTTTGAAGGAAACATCCCTTATTAGTTGCCTCTTATGACATGCTTGTTAGGGCCCTGTTCTTTCTCCCCCCTCCCCAAAAAAAACCCACATGGGGAGGCTCAACTGTATGAGGAGTTTAGTGCGTAGTGTGTTACAGAGAGGGAGGCAACACTGCACCCTACCAAGCATGTCTTAAGAGGTGACTGAGGGGTAGGACTGGGCTTGGAGTTGACTACACATTGCCGTAAAATGCAGTAGTCTCAAAAATCAACCAGCCCTGGAAATGTTTAGCTCTATTGTCACATCAGCTCTTTTGTCACATCAGCTCTTTTGTCACATCAGCTCTTTTGTCACATCAGCTCTTTTGTCACATCAGCTCTTTTGTCACATCAGCTCTTTTGTCACATCAGCTCTTTTGTCACATCAGCTCTTTTGTCACATCAGCTCTTTTGTCACATCAGCTCTTTTGTCACATCAGCTCTTTTGTCACATCAGCTCTTTTGTCACATCAGCTCTTTTGTCACATCAGCTCTTTTGTCACATCAGCTCTTTTGTCACATCAGCTCTTTTGTCACATCAGCTCTTTTGTCACATCAGCTCTATTGTCACATCAGCTCTTTTGTCACATCAGCTCTTTTGTCACATCAGCTCTTTTGTCACATCAGCTCTTTTGTCACATCAGCTCTTTTGTCACATCACATCAGCTCTTTTGTCACATCAGCTCTTTTGTCACATCAGCTCTTTTGTCACATCAGCTCTTTTGTCACATCAGCTCTTTTGTCACATCAGCTCTTTTGTCACATCAGCTCTTTTGTCACATCAGCTCTTTTGTCACATCAGCTCTTTTGTCACATCAGCTCTTTTGTAGGGAACAGGACTATGGGAAACTTGTGTCTCTTTTTCTGCAGGTCTTTCCAGTGGTCACAATATGTTCCAGTGTCCTTCTCATAACTGACCCCCAAAAAAAAATATACATCGTTGTGACAAGTTATCTTTGCGCCCTCACCTCTTTCAAAACATTGTTGGCTGTCCAACAAAATTTAAAAAATGTTCTGTAAAACCACATCTCTGAATTCTAAAGAAAAAATGGGTCCCAGACAGTTGTCATGGCATGGGGGAAGAAAAGGGGCTGTCAAAGATGTTCCCTCATTGTCTTCAACTGTCTTTTTCCCTAAATTGTTTGTCTTTTATAACTTTCTCTGAAACAATATATTTTCAAATAGACTTTGTGTTTTTTGCACAAAGTAAGTGATGACTGTTGATTTGCAACCATGACTAGCGTGCATAGAAATCAGTAATTTAAAATGGATGAGACCAGACACGAGCACTGTGCATGCAGGGAGCCAAACACAGCCTGGGTGTCTTCAGCCACTACATGCTGAGAGATATACTGAGGAGGGGATCTTGTTTTGGGTACTGTGAGAACAACCTGTCAGCTAACTAACAGACTTGATCTAATAGAAGGAAAACTCTGTTTCAGAAAGAAGTATGAATCTATCATGAACCTGAAAGGGTGCAGTTGGGCCTTTAGCAGCGAGGACTCTGTTAGTGGCAACAAGGTAGTGCTCAAGTACTTGAAAAGTACACTCAGGACCAACGCAGCCTTCTTTGGCAATATTGTGCCATCAGGCAAGTGGAATGTCCAGATATACTGTGATTGTAATGTTATTAGTTGAATATTGTTAAATGTAACTGAGTTACCTTAGTTGATGCTAACTGTTCTGTGTTAACTTGGTAAGATATAACTGACATACCGTATAACTGTAACCCGTACTATCTGTTCTGTGTTAACTTGGTCAGATATGACTGAGCTGCCGTATAACAATAGTTGATACAACCTGTTCTCTGTTAACTCGGTCAGATATGACAAAGCTACCATATAACAGTAGTTAATACAACCTGTTCTGTGTTAACGCTGAATGTTGGGCAGCACATATAGTATCTGATATTCAAATTGTGTTACTAGCTAAGGACAGAGGAGCACGTTGGAGAGAATGTTGAATTAAGAACCTCCCTATGTGGGTTCCGGGGCCCCATTATGGGGGAAAACAAGAATAGACCCACTGGCTTCCCAGCAAGCATGTCGTGGGAGTCAACTAACTGGGTACTTTGTTTGAAATCGTAGTGCATCTGCCCAAGAGGCAAAGAACAACCTAGTGCACACAAATACGTCCGTAAAATGGATGTACATACAAAACTCAGGCCCTGGCACAAAAGCAAAGTCCAAATGGATGAACAACCAGGACTTTCCGCCGGAGCTTATAGCCAGTGAACAAAGAAGAAGAATTAATAATCGACATCATAGCACTCAGGACACTCCCATAAGCGCTCCGTTCTCATCTTCAGCAGCAGGCAAAGAGTTCCAGTTTCAATGGTACCAGTAACTGTCTGATTGTATATCCATCTCGCCTTCCCCTAGAGTGTTGAGTGTCAGCCAGATTCCCCCGGCAACTCCCCGCAGCGCCATACCCCTCAGACTGTAATGATTCATTTGTGCCTCCTCAGGGTTCACTCACTCCCAAAAGGCCCTCACAACATCTAGCTTGTGATACATCCGTTCAACACCAAGTGGTGCAGAATCGACCAGTCTGTCTGCTCCCTCACTTCCCAACACACCAGCACAACTAGGAAAAAAATATCTTAAGAAAGCCAATTACCCAGGACCTCCGAGGCGATGCCTGCAACTCTTCACGAAGCATGCCTGTCCGCACCCCTGTCAACATTCTCTATATTAGTGAGATACAATTATGACATGTATGTACAGCAGTGACTGCCTCCACCTCCATTTTCAAATCATATGCTGCAATATCATTTGTACAGGTTTGTTGCACCAAGCCACGTCCATTTGCTTTTGATATGAACCCCCATGCACATCTCTCCGTCTCACGGACGCGCACACACACACAGAGAGAGAGAGAGAGAGAGAGAGAGAGAGAGAGCCACCTGTATAGATAATCACATTTGTTGAACTTATGTGTTTATCTGATATGTTACCTTTCCTTTGGAGTTAACAAAGATGGCAGAGAAAGGGATCACGCTGCGTGGGCAACACAGTCTCAACAATACAATAGCCTTTGTGCTAGGGAAAGGAGTAACTTCAATCCTGGCCCTAAATTGTATTGCTTGGGCTTTCGTCTGATTTCACGATTAAAAAGGCAGTTGGCTGGTTGTGTTGTGGTTTACAGCTAGGCTGCAATATCTGTGCCTTTCAGTACACCCTGTTTTAGCAAACCCCTAATTAGTCACTTTTTATGACATGTTTGTTAGAGGTCTTAAATGAGCAGCTTGCATGCTGTGTTGTGGTTCCCAGCTAAGCTGAGATATTTGCATATTTCAGACCAGCACATCCAACTTCAACAAACCCTTCATTGGTTAACTTTTGTGACATGTAAGGGGCAGTGGCATCATGAGAGCTAATAGACTGAAATAGTTGGGGCATATTGAGAGAATGTCAGATGACATCGAAGTGAAACTGTATACACAAGGGAGATGAATGGTCGTAGACCACAAGGCAGACCAAGAAGACGATGAAGAGATAATATCCAGACAGACCTGCAAACATTTTGTGTCACCAGCTGGAAAGAGAAGGCCAACAAGAGAGATAAATGTAGGCCAGTGATATTTGTAGCAATGAAAAGGGCTCGGAAGGCTGAAGAAGAAGAAGTGGGCCTCCTCCCCCTTTCGCCAAAGAGGCCCCAGAACCCACACAGGAAATTTGTCGGTCATCATCATCATCATCATATTCCTATAACAAAGCTTGTTGTTGGGTCACCAGTTGCTGTTGACTAATCTATAGTCTCCACAGAGGCAGTGAACCTGCTGTTCAGCCAACTGTTTGTCATAGAGCAGTTATAAATTACGTACAAATGTGGCAAATAAAATGTTTCAGAGCAGCTGGCCAAACGATTAAGAATTCTGGAATCTCATGTAGAAGACCCAGGTTGGAATCTTCCGTAAGGTCATGGATTTTATGTGTCAGGGGCAAAAATAAAATCTTGTCCCACGCAGTGCGTGGCGACATCTCTAGCCATGCAGCCCCAAGTCCTCAGACTCAAAGACCCTCATTGCCTACACCACAAACGAAGTTAATACAGGCAGTAGTTTGCACGTTTTTGTGTGTGGCCCACTTAGAGAGAATACCACAAGAGGAGAGGGATGTAAAGCAAGGGGTAGAATAGAACAAGATGAAAAAGAATAACATCAGAGGAACTCTACAACAGCATGATGTGTCTGTGGGTCAAGGAAAAAGAACCTGAACATTACATCTCCCTTAACAACAGAAGTGGTAACAGAGGAAGTGAGTAAGAAGATAGGAATGAACTAACCCACAGGAATGACTACTTAAAAAAAAACTGTGGGTCACTGGTGAAGACTAAAGTACGCCATCCTGTTTGTGTCACTTGCTAAAATAGATGATAGGCATTGATTGACACAGAAGAAAAGACAGATGAAGAATAACATTTACCTTATACCCCCTACTGCAGGCAGCCATTTAAACTCCATACAGATGGTGAAAGACTTCAGAGTAGATGCCGCAGCTGTTGACTCCACCGTCTTGGCCAGGTATGTCAGGGAACATGAGGAGAGCAGAGACAAATTTGTTTCCCTCGTGTCTTTAGGGCCACTTCCAATTCATCCGCTGCTGTTCAACGGCCAGTTACCACGTAAGTGTTTGTTTGAACACTTTTGTTTCTTTTTTGTTTGTTCGTTGGTTTGTTTTTCCTTTTGTTTACCAGCTCAAAGTGCTGGGTTCAAATCTTCATTGAGGTGAATCTGGCTTAGCCTGTCACCAGAAATTGATGCCTGGAAAAGACTTGGTAGGCAAAGGCAACCATCACACTGTTGACCACATTACTCATTCAGTGTAGATTGGTATCAGAAAACATGGAGCTAGCAGCTGTCCTTATGTTTCTCCTTCCTGTTCCTCTACATTCTGTTACTTCCTCTTCCTCCTATCTCCTTCACAGACTACTTCCTCATATCTGCTTCACATTCCTTCACATGGTACTTCCTCCTACCCTATCTCCACATTCTGCTGCCTCTTCCTTCTCCTATCTCCTTCACATTCTGCTACTTTTTCCTACTCCTATCTCCTTCACATTTTGCTTCTTTCTCCTCCACCTAAATCCGTCACATTCTGCTGCTTCTTCCTTCTCCTCCTATCTTCTTTACATTCTGTTACTTCCTTCTCCTGTCATATCCTGCTTCTTTCTCTCCCTCACATTCTTCTTCTTCCTCCTACGCATTCTTCTACGTCTTCATTATCTTCCTATCTCCTTTAGATTCTCCTACTTCCTCCTTCACATTCTGCTTCTTCCTCCTCCTATCTCCTTTACATTCTGCTTCTTCTCTTTCTTCTCCAAATTTTTTAATATTCTTTTTCCTGCCCCCCTCCTCTTTGACGTAACCAAATGCATTTTTTCACACCCACAGAAGAATTAAAACAGAGAATCACTGAAGCTCTACTAGCCATGTTCAAATCTCGCTCATGGGCCTCAAGACTCAACAGCGTTGGCATCTCCAAGTTTGTGGCTATAGACTCTAGCCTGTACAACCTGGAAGAAGACATCACCATGGGCCTCCAAGGGATGAGCATCAACCCCACATATTACTGACCTGTGTCCATATTGTCCAGAAGTTAACCCACTGACCTGTGTCCATATTGTCCAGAAGTTAACCCACTGACCTGTGTCCATATTGTCCAGAAGTTAACCCACTGACCTGTGTCCATATTGTCTAGAAGTTAATCCACTGATCTATGTCCATGTTGTCCAGAAGTTAACCCACTGACCTGTGTCCATGTTGTCCAGAAATTAACCCACTGACCTGTGTCTATGTTGTCCAGAAGTTAACCCACTGACCTGTGTCCATGTTGTCCAGAAGTTAATCCACTGACCTGTGTCCATGTTGTCCAGAAGTTAACCCACTGACCTGTGTCCATGTTGTCCAGAAGTTAACCCACTGACCTGTGTCCATGTTGTCCAGAAGTTAATCCACTGATCTGTGTCCATGTTGTCCAGAAGTTAATCCACTGACCTGTGTCCATGTTGTCCAGAAGTTAACCCACTGACCTGTGTCCATGTTGTCCAGAAGTTAACCCACTGACCTGTGTCCATATTGTCCGGAAATGAATCCACTGACCTGTGTCCATAAGTTAATCCACTCAACTGTGACTAAGATGCTCAACCTAAAGAAACTGTGACTAAGATGCTCAACCTAAAGAAACTGACTAAGATTCTCAACCTAAAGAAACTGTGACTAAGATGCTTAACATAAAGAAACTGTGACTAAGATGCTCAACCTAAAGAAACTGTGACTAAGATGCTCAACCTAAAGAAAAACGTACACATACAAAACAAAAAGATGCTTCGGCCGGGGCCTTTCTCGACACATAAACACGATGAGAAAAACAAGCCTCAGATCATCCTGGCTAACAGGGGGTCACGTGAATAACTATAAAATTAAGGCAAAGGTTTGGAACAAATAAAATCAATGAAGAAAAAATAGAGATAAAGGACTCTTCTTCATACCTTCAGGCATATTGGGCACATAGGGCTAGACCTATATTTTATAGAACAATCGGCTCTTGGTGGGTGAAGTGGTCAGCATCACGTCAGAAATATAAATAATAATAATAATAAAACAGGAGTAATAGCAGTGGCCCCTGTAGTCGTGCCTGGCCAGAATGTCTCTTTTTTTATGTGTGTGCGTTGCTCTCCCTTCCCCCCTTGTTACGCATCTTAGTGGATTAATTTCTTGGTATTAGCTTGACTGCAGTCATAGTTTTTTGTATTTATACTGTCAGTTTAGGACAATAATATTTGTCACAATTGTCCAGATTGTACCCAAATAATCCTAGCTTTCATCTGTCATATCTAGTCATTTTAGATTGACACATCAGGTTTTTATAACATTATGTGTTATCATCATTAACCCAATCAGTTATGTTGTCGTTTACATGCATTACAAATTTAATGGTAAATTGTATTTTTAGAGCTTCAGTGTATATTGCCTTTAATGGCATTTGTATATTTGTTTTTTAAATTATTATTATTGGAATGAATATGTTTACTGCTTTCTGAATATCCTCCTCTTCCTTTCTTTTTCCAGGCCCTCACACTTCTTCTTCTGCAATCGCCTCAAAAGACGGTTAGCACGTGGTGTTGTGGTTTACAGCTAGAATGTGATTTCTGCTCCTTTCGGCCCCACACATCCAGTTTCTACAAATCCTTAAGTAGTTGCCTTTGGCAACATGCTATCTAAGAAGCAATAAGTCTAATTACCCCCCCCCCCCCCTCCTTTTTTTACAAATGAAAATATTATTGTCGATATTAGATTGACAAAAATAGAAAGCATTCTAGAATTAAGGTTTTTATTTTAACAGTATCACAAACTTTTTATAGAAATTCACTATAAGGAGACATTATTTTGAGTTTCTGATAATTGTTGAGCAGCGGCTGGCCAAACAAAATGAACGCTAGGTTTTCAAGCAGGAGACCCATGTTCAAATTCTCAGTAAGGAAAAGGCTGGGAATTTTTTATTTCGAGGGCAACATAAAATCCTATCCTGCACAGTCATGGTGACAGCACTAGCTATGCGGCCGCAAATTCTCAGGCTCAAAGACCTCCCCCCCCCCCCGACTACACCGCAAAAGTGGTATAATAATGGCAGTAATTGGCAGTTTTAGCAGATAATTGTTAAACTTACTTTATAGTCATTTCCATTTTTTAAAGTCAGATGCCATGTTAATCTAACAATTATTCAAATTTTCCATTCCATATTTATATTAACATTGCCATTGTTGTAGACACGCTTGCTAAGATTCTTGGGGTCTGTGTGGTAATAGTAACTGATTCAGAGGTGTAAAGATCACTAGGGTTTATGTTGTCAAGATTTGTTTAGCCATTGTTTTAGAAAGATCTGGCTTTGACTTTCTCTTGTTAAAAAAGAAAACAAACAATGGTGAAAGCCTGAGGAAAAAAAAGACATAAAAAAAAAGAATCTGCAAATGTTATGCATTCTCAACCCAGCTGTATGGTGCAGAAACTTGGACAATGAACAGACAAATAGAAAATTCAAGTGAGTCTCTGGAAATGCGGATATACAGAAGAAAATGTCATATTTCATGGAAACAAAAACAGCCAAATACAGAGGTTCTGTAGAGGCTGTGAATGAAAAGAGAATTATCAAAATCAATAAAAATGAGACAACTGTAATATTTTAGCCACATAAAAAGGCGTAATATGCTTTTAAAAAATCATACTGGAGGGAAAGGTTGATGCCAAGAGAGCAAGAGATAAGCAACATTACTAGTGGGAGGACAACATTAAGAGATTGAAGAAAAGCAGTCTGACAACCAAGAGAAGAAACATTGGAGATCCATTCCATTGCAGCCAACTTTCATTGTGGAGATGACACCTGACTGATCAATTATGTGAGACCATGTTTAATAACTACATATGAAATAATGTGCGGTCTCCACAAGGTCATCACAACACAAGGAGGGACAGGGTCACCAATACCAGTGTTAGAGAGAATATTGGAATAACACTGTGTCTGGATTATATTCATAGACAAAGAATGAATGGTTCGGCCATCTAGTGAGAATGCAGCCAGGATAAACTGCATTTGAGACTTTTTACAGCAGAAGGTCAGGGAAGAAGGCGAGGGGAAGACCCAGAAAGACAAGGATAAATGGTGTAGCAGAAACCTGCAAAAAAGATGACTGAAATCCCTCACCCAAGCCACAGAGAAGTGCAAGACAAATACAGAAAACCACGACACTGGGCTACAACCTGGTATCAGTGAGACAACAAAACCACAACACTGGGCTACAACCTGGTATCAGTGAGGTGACAAAACCACAACACTGGGCTACAACCTGGTATCAGTGAGGTGACAAAACCACAACACTGGGCTACAACCTGGTATCAGTGAGACAACAAAACCACGACACTGGGCTACAACCTGGTATCAGTGAGACGACAAAACCACGACAGTGGGCTACAACCTGGTATCAGTGAGGTGACAAAACCATGACAGTGGGCTACAACCTGGTATCAGTGAGGTGACAAAAGAAGCGCAAGATAAATACAGAAAACCACGACACTGGGCTACAACCTGGTATCAGTGAGGTGACAAAAGAAGCGCAAGATAAATACAGAAAACCACGACACTGGGCTACAACCTGGTATCAGTGAGGTGACAAAAGAAGCGCAAGATAAATACAGAAAACCACGACACTGGACTACAACCTGGTATCAGTGAGGTGACAAAACCACGACACTGGGCTACAACCTGGTATCAGTGAGGTGACAAAACCACAACACTGGGCTACAACCTGGTATCAGTGAGACAACAAAACCACGACACTGGGCTACAACCTGGTATCAGTGAGGTGACAAAACCACAACACTGGGCTACAACCTGGTATCAGTGAGGTGACAAAACCACGACACTGGGCTACAACCTGGTATCAGTGAGGTGACAAAAACAACAACACTGGGCTACAACCTGGTATCAGTGAGGTGACAAAACCACGACACTGGGCTACAACCTGGTATCAGTGAGATGACAAAACCACAACACTGGGCTACAACCTGGTATCAGTGAGGTGACAAAACCACAACACTGGGCTACAACCTGGTATCAGTGAGGTGACAAAACCACGACACTGGGCTACAACCTGGTATCAGTGAGAGGACAAAACCACAACACTGGGCTACAACCTGGTATCAGTGAGGTGACAAAACCACAACACTGGGCTACAACCTGGTATCAGTGAGACGACAAAACCGCGACACTGGGCTACAACCTGGTATCAGTGAGACGACAAAACCACAACACTGGGCTACAACCTGGTATCAGTGAGACGACAAAACCGCGACACTGGGCTACAACCTGGTATCAGTGAGACGACAAAACCACAACACTGGGCTACAACCTGGTATCAGTGAGACGACAAAACCGCGACACTGGGCTACAACCTGGTATCAGTGAGACGACAAAACCGCGACACTGGGCTACAACCTGGTATCAGTGAGACGACAAAACCGCGACACTGGGCTACAACCTGGTATCAGTGAGACGACAAAACCGCGACACTGGGCTACAACCTGGTATCAGTGAGACGACAAAACCACGACACTGGGCTACAACCTGGTATCAGTGAGATGACAAAACCGCGACACTGGGCTACAACCTGGTATCAGTGAGATGACAAAACCGCGACACTGGGCTACAACCTGGTATCAGTGAGATGACAAAACCGCGACACTGGGCTACAACCTGGTATCAGTGAGATGACAAAACCACGACACTGGGCTACAACCTGGTATCAGTGAGATGACAAAACCACAACACTGGGCTACAACCTGGTATCAGTGAGATGACAAAACCACGACACTGTGCTACAACCTGGTATCAGTGAGATGACAAAACCACGACACTGTGCTACAACCTGGTATCAGTGAGATGACAAAACCACGACACTGGGCTACAACCTGGTATCAGTGAGATGACAAAACCACGACACTGGGCTACAACCTGGTATCAGTGAGATGACAAAACCACGACACTGTGCTACAACCTGGTATCAGTGAGATGACAAAACCA